GAAGCGCGCGGCGCCCCCGCCGATCCCGCCGTGCGGATGGCGCAGCGCGGCGGTCGCTGCCGCTCGCGCCCCGTGCGCGGCACTCCCCGTCATGCGCCGCGCCCGCCTCCGGGCCTGTGCGCCTCCTTCGAGCGCGGGGGGGAGGTCCTTGGCGCGCCCACGGGGCTGCGCCTCGCGCCGATGCGACTGGCGTCCAGTCAATCCTCCGCCGGTCCGCCATACGGCACACCAGGACGCCGAAGATACTAAGTACTATCCCCCGAAATAAAATACAATAACGCGAGACTACAGCACTTTTCCAGTGCTGTGCCTAAAGTACACGTTTTATCAAAGTGAATCAGCTCCTTCTTCAGGAGCTGTTTGGCAGCGTGCAAGTCCCTTTTTCAGGGACCAATCATTCACCACTCCCAAACAAATGCAATACATGCTTTTTCAACATGTTCTACCCCAAACCAATTCTCAAAATCAGTTCAGGGAACACAGTTTCTTCTCCAGAAACTGCCATACACCTTCCCATAATCTCACAGCTCCTTCTTCAGGAGCTGTTGGACGATTGCACATATCCCGTTTGCAGGGATTCAATCATGCCCCTATTGCATTCAGATGCAAAACATGCTTTTCCAGCATATCCCCTCAAACGAGTCTTGAACTTCAGTTTCTTATTCAGAAACTGATCCTGCAGCTCTCCACAGTCTCAAAACTCCTTTTTCAGGAGCAGCACCGCTTTTTCAGCGGTAAACACTCAAACATGTTGTCCACTTTCAAGGACAACACCACTTCTCCAGTGGCAGTCAGAAACAACCACTTTTTCAGTAGTATACGTTCACCATTCCCGTCAAATTTCACAGGCTGCATCACTTTTTCAGTGGCAACCACGCATAACCACTTTTCCAGCGGTATGTACCAATCAAGGCTGCACTACTTGTATCATTGGCAGCACCACTTTTACAGTGGCAAGTAAATTTCGGCCACTTTCTCAGTGGCAAACATCATTTTGCATCAGGTCATGCACACCAAAAGGATGCACGAGCTGGAAAGTAGCATCAGCTCAGTGCCATGCTGGGGAAAGAGACATCCCAGCATGTTCCTTGAGGCACACGCCTGTAAATCGAGCGGCTGGGGGCACAGCCCCACAAACACACACTTGAGCGGCCCCATGGCTGGAAAGAATCATCAGCCACCAGGGCACCCTCTCATGCGCAGCCAGCCCAATCATGGGCACTCTGATCGATCCAAAACTCCTTGCTCAGGAGTCTTTCCTTTTCTTTGCCACTTATCCAGTGACTTTCCCACATTTTTCCGATCTTGTCACTTGTTCAGCGACAAACTCAGCGTTTCGGGACAACCGAAGAGTAGGCAGGCTGGGCAACACACCAGCACATCCCCATGTTGAGGCAAGACACATCTCAACATGTTTCTTGGGGCCCAAACGACTGAAGAATACGGTCCAGAGCACAGCTCTAGGACCATTAGTTCAGACCCTACCCATAGCTGGAAAGAGACATCAGCATATGGGGATTGGATCTGTACCAAAATGAAACGGCCGGCGGCACAGCCAGCCCGTACATTCTCTCCACAACAATATTTCAGCTGTGGGTGATGGATGAACAAGTAAACACATGCAGCCCTTGCATGGGGTAGTCCACCCTGGAAAGAACCATCAGGTGTGGGCCCACACTTTTGGTCGTGCATGGCTTCTTTCTAGCCTTCTTCAGGCCAGCCACCCCTTAGCCTTGCGCAATCGGCCTCGAGGCTGGACACACGCCCAAACTGGGCGGTATCCTTATTCAGGACACATAGCCCCACCAGATATTGAGAGCCGCGGTCAATACCGGTGAGGCAGCTTTCACGGAAATACTCTTGCTGCGTAGGGTGTCGCTCAGTCGTCACCAAGCGCCCCTTGAGGCAAAACTCCTCTCAACTTTTCATGACCAGCTTGCTACATCATCAAAAATGCAAGCTTCTGACCAGTTTTTTTGTTTCCGTTTTTGTTCTTTTCTTTTTCTAAACGGTGGTGTCATACTCGGGCCATCCCACACAGTCAGCATGCGTGTCAGACGTGAGTCCCTCGCCAGCTGGTTCATAAGTGACTCACCCAGAGAAACGGTGGTCATTATGCAGCTGCGCGAACAAGATACAAATAAAAAGGAATATATAGATGCACCTACTTGGGTACGACCACATAGCATGACCTGTGGATGTCTATTTCTCCACCATGCTGTAAATGGCCGCATTTTGGCAGGGAAATCTACACCAGATGTCCATGGAATTAATTGGATTGATGCTTACAATCGAGTTTCGCGCAAAACATCTGGCAACATGCACGCAGTCGTGAGCAAATCTCTCATTCGCTTGATTGGGGTGTTGGAATTTACCTGGAACATTCCTTTATTGGAATGACCAAGAGAAAAAAAATGGTATCAGGCTTGTTATTTATGGCATGAACACAGCGCGTATTATGTATGATACGTCAAAAACACATCCACAGGTTCGCCATCATGGGATCCATTCAGGCATCCATACACCAAACGACACCAACAAGAGTACCTGCAAAAGCAGGGAGATGGGAATCGTTTTCCCAAATATGGGCGCGTGCTATAGAATCCACTTTATCAGCATGGTTGGCCCATATAACGACACAGGAAGATGGGGCACAAACGAACAAGATCAATACCCTAAGGGAAGTGTGCATTTGAACCGCACAATTTATGGCAGTACTTTGCTGGAGATGAAACAGCAAGTTGCCCTTTGCTTTCTTCTTGAGATGGGTACCACAGATAGCATTAGGGCATGCAATTCATGAGGCCACACATCTGTGGTGTTGCCCGTCATCGCCTGCAAGGTGCAAAGTCCCCAGCTTGTATAGCAAGGGCAACAGCATCCATTGTCCCAAATCAATTGTCCAGTATCTTGAAACATAAATCTCGTTACAAATACAGCTCCTGAAATACAATATGAGGCCAGAATCTAATTTTTTGGAGCCCCAACTACTTCATGCCAATTTTTGAGAAGAGCAAGTCAGCCCCAGCCCCTGGTTGGGCCCCTAGTTAGGCTCCACCCGCTCGAGCTCCATACAATTCTGGGTCACTTCCGTCCGTGGGTTCCCCAAACGAGGTCCATTTCGTTGATGTTTAGAAGGGAAGGGTCCACCACATTGAATAGTGCTTGCCAAATACACTCGACCGCAGTTGGATTCTTAGCGTACAAAGCCATCGGCACTGCATCGACAAAGCCTAAAATCGCTGCCCTCCTTGATCTCCAATGCATAGACTTGCCACAAGCAGCAAAAGTTGTGGTTCAAGACGCTCAAGCTCGCGCTCCATGCAGGCTATTACTCGAAGGGTGTGTTGTAATTTTGCTTGGACATTCCGCCTCGATCAATGCTTGAATGGGATTTTTCGTGTGCAGCCTGGCCCGCAATCTGCAAACTGCCGCTAGTGGTCGGCTCTTGCATGCGATCCACAATACTTGCAACCTAGATAGTTACTATTCATGAGACACGGCTTTATCCATCCAACCATTGTCCTGACGTCCACCCCTTCGACTTCCGACTCAAGGTCGGTTTTGCCATTCCTGTCAAAGGGGCCATCCCCTAGGCATCCGCTACTGATTGGGGCATGGCGACCACCTTCACTCTCATGCCTCTTCAGGGGTTATGGGGGAGCCTCCCAGATTTGCCTAACCTAGGCCCCAAATCTGTGGCCTACAAATCTGGGCCAAGGAGACAGCTTTGATCCGTTGGGATCAATCTTGAATTGCAGCCACAAGCTACGACCAGTGCCACGATCAGGGCGTTTACAACGTGTTTTTATTGCCTTGCTGCCTCACAATACTTCGCCAACCTTCAATCTGAATGGTGTGGATAGTTTTATTTAGGCTGCTCTATATCGCTGCCACAAAAGCGTCCTCCCGACCATTGCAAAAACCGTCTGTGTTGCGACCAAGTTGAAAATTTTAGAGGATTTCTAGCCTGAAAGCCTTGAGTTGATCCTTGACTGTATACTCCAAACTCGTGAGCGCACCTTTTGATAAGTTTTTGCTGAAAGCCGAAGCCTCAATGATAGAAAAGCAGAACGCCAAAGTGATAGACGATTATTAATCTGAGGTGGAAGTACAAGACAATGATCTTAGCCATGCAGCGGCTCAGCTAAGTGCACAGTCTTGCGGTTCAGTGCGCGTGCCTGTGTCGCGCACCAACAATCAAGTTTGGCGACAGCAATGCCTATCGTGAGAACAAGTCGTCACACGGCGAGTAAACGTGTGCTTACAAGTAACCAAGAATTGGAGTATCAGCAACAGAATTGGACGCACAGTAGTGCAACACAACGAAAATAAGCATGTGGCCCTTAGGAGCATGGTCATGTGTCAGCTCATGCAGCCCTTCCAAATGCATATGATGGCATGTTTACCCCAACATCGCTCGCCTCAACAGCGAATGGAACCCGTTCTCGAACAAGTCAATCACCTGCCAAACAATTACAATGACGATCAAACACATGATCGTGTGCACACAAACTCGCAGCTACATTTGCCCCTCTTCTACAAGCCAATTCGGGTCGCAGTCCTGCGGGCATAAAGAAAAGGAACAAGGGTAGATGCGGCTATCCTCGTTCGAAACAGTTCCCTTCCTCCAAAACACACACCCACACACAACACACGCACACTCTACACTGTCGTCCCCCCACAGACACTCAACGAGGATGCCGCAGTCCCAACTCCACACCGACCTCGTCTCCTGGCCGTCTGGGCGCCGATGCCAAACCGTCCCTGCTCTTCGACCTTTCCACAAGATGGCCAACCAACGCCCCAACTGGCAACATTACTGGCCACATCGTTGCTTTCCGTTTTGGGGGACCCTTGCTACGGTGCCCGCAGATCTACAAGCAGGTTCGTGGCCTGGTGTGCCTGGAGCCATGTGCATAGTGTGTGATGAAAACACAATGGGGCAAGTCCCCATACAGGCGCACCATCGGGACCCAGATACACACAACAAACGTATCTCACTCCGGAGTTTCCCTGGAGTCCGTTATCTCCAGCAGGTCCACTGCCTCAAAGAGGTGGTGTGGCAGGCCCGCCTGCTCCTTCCACGAATCCAGCACCTTCTGCAGTTTCAGTATATCGCGATTGACCTCATTCTTGTGTGCCCCATTCTTGATGTTGCGCATCTTGAGGCCCAACTGCAGACAGGCCTCCGTGGCCGGCCAGGCACCAGTACCTGGGAGCACGTGCATCAGGATGAGGGTCTTCGCGTTGCCACCCAAGCAGTCGCTCATGAGCATGGTGAGGGGGCTGGCGGTGTAGGGGATGACAGGCTTGTTCTTCTCCACGGCTTCCACCACGCTGTGGAGGGCGTTGATGCACGGCAGGTCCCTGGGTGCCACGGTACACCATCAACACAAAAACTTGGTGCTCAAGTTCAACACAATAAGTGCTCCCCAGCAAGGAGGCCGTGTTTGGCAGCAGACACATGGTGTGCACTCGTTGATGTCACTTTCATCAATTGCTCAATGCAGTCATCTGTTTGCCTTGACATGGCTCTATGCCCCATTATGTTGCCTGCCTGTCTATGGAAGCATAGGAGCAGAATGTCTTCTTGCTAGCTGTTTCATTTTGACTCTTTCCAACAGAACGAGCTACTAGGATATCCCAAGACACATTTTCCATATTACGAACGATGCTGCAAAATGCAACAGGAAAAGCAAAAAAAAAAGAGAACACTTCATGCCCCCATTCCATTCTTATGTTGTTTCCTTTGAATCTGCTGCAATGGTATTCTTGGGGGATTGACAAAACATTGCTCCACTGCCCTTTCACATTAGGTTGTGATGAAATGGTGTCCTCAATTCACTGAGGCGAAATTCGAGGCACATACAAATTGCAGCGCAACTGGCAGCACCGCAACTTCCCTTTTCTCCTCAATGCTGGCTGAGTGCTGAATGCTGTTTTCAGTCGCTGCCAGTCATGCCCAGATGCATTACCCCATTGGTCAAGTCTCACAACAATGCAGCAACCAGGAACACTCTTCTCACCTGTCACATCCTGGGAGGTCATAGATGGTGAGCCTTCCCTTGGAAACAGACTGCGTCTCTATGTTCTCGCCTTCGATGTGCCAACTTATCACCAGCGCAGAGTCGGAGGGGTCTTGGCCTGGAGGCACATTGTTCATGGCACTCACCATCCCCTGGACGAGTTCAGCCTCTGATGCCACAGACAGCGACTGTGCCCCAAAGACGACTGTTACCCCCTTCCAGTCTTTCTTCACATCCAGCCTGCGCCGCCCCTTGTAAAGCCGAACATGAAAGAAACCCAGTCAGGACAATGAAATCAGCAAATCACATCTGCCAACCAACAAGTTGCTGCCACTGCCAGCATCCCTGCAGCAATACGATGACCTTGCAACTTGAGGGCATTGACAGCAGTGTGCAGCAGCACAACCATTCGCATAAAGTGCCAATGCCAGTCAAAAAACAAAGGGAACAGATGAGCTTTGACATGTGCAAGGCGATGGTACTGTGTGAAGGCCACCTCTGCTTGCTGTTTTGGGGTATCTGTGTGTCTGCACCAGCTGTTGCTGGCAATTCCTGTAATTGCATCCTCATCAAGTACGCGTGACAAAAACAGAACCCTTTGCACTGTGTAGGCATTGTACTCAGGAGTTATTTCTACCAAGAGATGGGCTCCCTTGCTCTTGCGTGGAATTCCTTCGATAGCATTCATTAGCACATGATGAGCACCACCCTTGCACCCTACAGATAGCAACCAGCACTAAACATCCATACTCATGCTTGGCATGTTGTTATTGGCTTGTGACTGCACATTGTTCCAAGTGGGTGCTTAATCAAGTGACAGCCATTGCGATCGAAGTGTATTCACCGTTCAACAACAAGCTGTTGGCCTGCAGCCATGAGCACAGTCATCCAGACCCACCACTGAGGGGAACAAAGAACAAGAGGACTACATAAGAAAGAACAGAGCAGATGTGATAAATAGACAAGCTGCCAGTCACCTGATTGGGAGGCACAAGGAGGTCAACAATCTCCTCGTTGGCCACCTTCATCATGGACAACTTCACACTGTACTTGTACTTCTTGGCCCTCTTCCGCACCACCTGATACAGCTTGTGGGCCGATGTCTGCACAAGTCCATCCTTGCCACTCGACCCAAACAGGGTTGTCGTCTTGCCACAACCCGAGAGGCCCCACGCCACCACGCAGGTATTAAAGCCATCGATGGCATGCTCCACAGAGTGCTTTACATTCTCAAACACCTGCTCAAAATCAATGACCGTCAACAATTCCCCTTGACTCGTTGCCCACCCAACTAGTGTGGAAAGGTGAAAGGAAAGGACTTTGTCATCACATTCTTACCACATGGAGTCAAACGTTGATTTCGACCACTGCACTGTACCAGAATCACCAAATTCACAAGCTGTTACCCATTCATCTCAAGACAAACAATGTACGAGTTTGCAGCAGCCAATGGAGGGGGCGTTTCCAGATGTTGATACAGGAACATTGCCGTGTGGCATTCCTGGGCGATACAGATCCAACCATTATAGTCCCACAGCACCACAGATCATGAGTGCTGTACTCTGACTGCGTTGATGACATATTGAACTCATATTCCTGCAGTTGGGAAGCCCCAAATCTTGAACACCAATGTCCCAGCTTGGGCACATGCACTGCACACAAATAGGCGCATAAGCGTGAGCACCCACAAGTGCTTCATCCAGCAAACACAATCTCTATTACTTGGCATATGCACACAAATAAAACATGTGGATCGTCAACCACAACCACAATGCCTCCAGTGACCCTTCATACTTTCACAGCATCCTACAATAGGATCCCATGCCAAGGCACAACCGATGGGTGTATGCACTTCATTGCAGGAGACAGTTAAATCTTAACAAATTTCTGAATTGTCAGAGAAAATTTGCACCACAGACAACAAGCAAAGGCCACCCTGTGGATACGTGCAGTTTGGTACCAGAATCATGATCCCATCTGCAAACTCAACCTCAGGGCCAAACCACCAGCCCAGGCAACAGCGCACCAGCCCAGGCAACAGCGCACCAGCCCAGGCAACAGCGCACCAGCTCAGGCAACAGCACACCAGCTGGGGCTTTACTTTGCCCTTCTTCGACAGAACCACGATAACCACAGGCAATATGTTGACAGGTGCACAAAGAGACAGCTGCACAGCCCCTTCTGGGCCAGGGAAACGCAGTGTGACCTGCCCTCACCTTTTCATTGCTGTCTGCTGGTCCATAAGCCTGATCGAAGGCGTACTCGTTGCCCATCTCACCCTCCTCTGCCACAGCTGCTGTCTGTGTGATGGTGAACTCATCAACCACCTCCACAGCGTTAACTGCTTCCTCACTGGGCTGGATGCGCATGTGGACACGCACTTTACCCTGCATCTCCTCCATCATGCTCATGTACCTTTGCAACAAAACAAGGCTATTGTTGCTGCAGGTGGGCGTACTCTGTGCTTTTGTGCCCATAACTGGGGGAGCTTGATGCAATGGTCATTCCGATTTCATTGAGCTTCAAAGCAACACAGTGCTTGAGTGTTTTGTTGTGCAGGATGGAGTGTGTGGGAGTATGGAATTCGTGCAGAAATAAACAACCAGCACAGGTGCCCAGATGCACAGTGACATTATTATCTGTATCACCTTACAACCACGTCAATTTGCCGACATTCGCTTTGTCCATCCACACAATGAAGTCTGATTTCATACCCCTGAACTCTTGCTCCACCTCTTCAACAAGGCAAACTACATTTCAAGGCTGATTGCGTAATTCCACTCCTGAGTACAACTGCCACAGCCTTGTTGCTCAGAATGGCCTGGGTGTACTGCATTTGCACATGCCAACAGCTCCATGCACCAAGCACAACACAAAACAGCACTGACGTACATTAATGCATCACTGATTAATGGCATGCGACCTGCCTAGGTAGGTGCAACACCACCAAACACCTGCAAGGAAAAAGATTTGTATTGCCTCCACAAATGCAGTAACTGAGGATTTGAGAGCAATGCAGACTCTGCCGCTGACCTCTTCCTGAGCATCTGTTCATCCTTGTGCAGAACCTGCAACTCATCAAGCCTCTTCATCTGGTTTCCAATAATGGCCTTCTGCTGCTTTTCTTTTCGTTCCACATCCGCCTTCATCTCCCTAAGGTCCTCCAGCTCATTGAGGTCTGTTCGGATCTGCTCGAGCTCATGCTTGTTGGCCTGGTACAGCTCCTCCATCTTTCCAAGTTCCTCCATCAGATCCATTATCTTGGCCTCCTTTTCCTCCATCTGCAGGATGGTGCACATCCGCCTAGTCAATTTTCAGCCATCGTCATCTGAATGAGACATGAAATCCTTGCAGTGACATGGCTCATACTATGTGTGCAGTATTCACATGGATGCACACAGTTACATCATAGCTAATGAGTGCTGATAGGAGTTCAGTTGGTGGCATCTGTTACACATGGCACCAGCGATGGTTATTTTCTATCCAGTTGGGAATATTATATGTGCAGCTTGAACAAAATGCACAAGGGACACTGAAAGCGACCAATTCAGTGCCACAGTGATCAGTGATAGTTCATCGTGCCCCTCTGGCAGGGCTAACTTTGGTGCCTGTGCACTTCGCACAGTAGTGCATGCGATGCTTGCAATAGAATAGCAATCTCAATTACATGTGCAGCGGCAGAAACAAGCCAGGCTTGCCTACACACCAACAGACTAGCCCAAACACTGGGCAGGGTATTGAGGCTGCGAACTATTCTGGAGATCTACTACCACAGTCCAGAGACACAATACATCCCTGCAATACTGTATGTGATATGATCACTAGAACAGCTCATGGAACATACAACCAGAAGGCACAGAAGCAACTGTATGGGGATGTTCACTACAAGAAAGGCAGAAAAGCATTGGCAAACGTAGGCCATGCCAAAAACATGGACAACAGGACCGATACAGCCCACAAATTCTCAATTCAGGAACACAACAATTTGGCTTGCGTCAGGAGATACACAGTGCTCCATGTACCATACTGAGGGGCACATGAAATCACTAGTGGTCACAATCACCTGCTTGGACATGGTGCAGCAACACACTGGCCATTTATTCCACAGCAATAGGAAAAGGCCAGGACATTTTCTAATGAAGGCATAACCTGCTGACATTCAATTTTTTGGCAAATCCAAGGCGACACCTCCATACAGGGCAGAAAACAAACTGTCAAGTACCGATCAGCTGTCACCTGTTCAGAAACAGTGCCCTGCGCCACATCCAGCTTCTCCCTCAGCTCCTGTGTCTCAGCTTCCCGAGACTTCTCCAGCCGCTGCATCTTCTTTTCCATGAGATCCTTCTCCTTGGAGGCCTGCTTGTACTGCTTTTCAAGAGACTGGACCCTGCATTACAAGTACCCCAGGATCCATCCCTTCACTGTAGGTTCGATAAATTCCATATGGGCTGCAAATATCAACACAATACGAAAAGGCTTAAGTAAAGGCACTGTAGCACCGCAAAACAAACCATTGTCTTTCAATTAAATGACCTACAGCATCCCCATACTTGCGTGGCTAGAAATCGGAGGGTGACATAACACTCTCACAATGAAACATTGGACACCCCACAATCTGGGTTGCAGAATTCCCATACACTGCAAAGCTTATGTTTTCATCCTCATACCACAATCGTGTCAACGACTCCACTTTGTTTTGTGATGCCTGCACTGTTGCAAGGCAGGAACAAGGCCACATCGCTCTTATCAAGCCCAAGAACTCCTGAATGTTATGCACAATTGGAACAGATAGAAACTGGAAGAAGGATCAATTGCACACACCTGTCGTTCAGCTGCTGGAGGTGCTCGCATTTCTTCTGTATGCCAATCTCCAGCTCCTTAACCTTTGCAGCATCCGCTGCCTCCTTAGCGGCATCCACGGCAGCGGCCTTCACAGCCTCTGCAGCCCCAAGCTCCTGTAGAATGCACACACACACACACACACACACACACCCCTAGCGTGAACACCAAGGTCCACAGGAATCTGCAGCACAACCATACTCTTCCCCCAATGGACACACTCCGTGAACTAAATCGGCTCCATTCCATATGGGTAACTGCATTTGCCCCGGGGCTCCTGATTGAGTTTGCTTGTCCAAATATAGTACTGCCACTTGTCGATGCCTTAGTGCCTTGCAGTGAAGCGCATTAGTATTCATGTTCTAGTGCAAGCACTGTCATAGCAGCTACAACTCATTGGACAAAACTCCCAGGTTTGCCAGTGTAAGGCACTGCTTTCTGTGCCACACATTTCATGCACCGCCTGATTCTTGGCTATGTGGGAATGCAAGCAACCAAGGCAATCAGCAGTCCATGAATTCTCCGTGCCCATCCTATGTTCAACTCTCAAGCCGAAGTGGGTGGGAGGCAAAACATGGGAACTGCACAACATCAGAATAAACAAGCATTGCATGAACACACCTCCCTGGCCTGCACCAGCTGTTCCTCCAGTGCCTTGAGCTCCTTCTCTTGCTTGCCCTTGAGGTCCAGCACCTCAGCACAGGCGTCCTCCTCTGCCTTGAGCCGTTCCATGGCCTCCTCCAGCTCCTCTGCGACTTTATCCTTCTGGCGCCGCATCTCCTCCTCTCGCTTTTGCAGCTCCTCGATCTGCTTGGTGGAGTCCTCCAGCATCTTCTGCATCTGGTTGACATGCTTCTCGTACTTGGGCCCACTGTCCCGAGCCACCTGCTTGCCTTCAGCAGCAGCCATGGCCTTGGCCTGCAGAACATCAGAGTTCAGCTTCAGAAAAGTTAGCTGGTGTCACTCGCAACATATTTAGCAAAACTTGCGTTCAGCATAGCAACATATCCCCATTTCTGCCAGCAAGACGACCCCATGTTTGGAGTTGACAGGGCCAAACACAGGATCACTACACACATTCAAGTTGCTCAAGTTACCTGTTCAAGTTAGTCATATTTCACTCTTTTTCTCTTTTTTCATTCTGTCATCGTCCCTTCACACACTATCAAGAACCTGAAAGAACACTCTCCAGCAAACACAATAATGCCTGTCATCGCCTTCCAACCCATACGGCGTTCCTTGTCTGTGCATGAGAACCATTTGGCTCACCTTTGAGTATCTCTTCATCATGATATCATTGATGTGCGTCTGGAGAGCCAGACAAATATCCTCCCCCTGTTTGGTCTCAAACTGAAAAATGTGCAGAACACCCGCAACCCTCATCTTGAAAAACACGGCCTGGGTGCTCGAGCCAAATTGCATAATGTCGCGCAGCTCTGCAGAGTGCAGGTACTCTTTGGGCACAGGGCGGAAGAAGTGCACACCACGCTTGTTGATGCCCAGGACCAACTTGGATGGCAGCAAGCCGATTGGGTCCTCAATGCGCTTCACAGAGAAGAAAATGGAGTTGCCTAGCACAGCAGATGTCCTCATCGACTACATTTGTCAAAAGTCTACAACCATTGCCCCTGTGTTTATCAGGCGATAAGCATGGTGGTGTTCACTGTCACAAGCGCTTGATTTTTGCTTCCAAGCATGAACAGCAGGTGTTCACAGATGTCTGTACTGACAGCAAAGTTCAGAGGAGTGCTGGGGAATACGAGGTGTGGAAATTCGTGGAGTTTCTCTCCACATAAGAGACTATACGAGGTGCAAGGAACAAATGCAATAAGTGTTGCAGTTTGTGCGCAGCCTCACGATCCACTGCCTGGGGACTCCATAATCTCACTCTTCAAAGAAAACAACACTTTCAACTCAAACAAATCGATGCAGCAAGCTGATTTAAGACAGATGGTCACAACAAGATCCACACAACTACAGCCAGCTGCAAAGCGTCACCCCTGACAGCTGCCTTTCCTTGTTGCCCATGTCCAGCTCATCATCTCTGTGTCTCAGGAGGGCACACTCTTTTCTTTTTCAGGTTCATACTTCCTCCATTCAAAAATGAATGGCGGCTATGATTTGGAGCCTTGGAGAGCCCATCAAAAAATCACCAATAACGCTCCAATTTTGACAAGACATTAAATTTTGTGTCAACTTGACCAATCGTATTCTTTCAGTCGGCTAAATACTGAGGGAGATACGACCCCTCACAAACGAGCATGTCAAACCAAATGTTGTGCAAGTCTCAAAGTCGCTCAGAAACAGCCCTTGACCATTGAGCACGTGTGGCCTTCGCTGTTGACTGTTATGGAGTGCATATTTGCGGCAGAAGGCAGCAACAGCTTCAAATCGCCTCACATTGGCAAGGAACAAGTGCAAAACAGGGGGAGGACGTGCTGAAGGTTGTCAGGTGCAATTTGGTGATTCAAACCACTTTCTGAGGCGTGATGAAATGGCTAAGATTATATTTCTGTGGTGTATGAGGGTGGTTCCTGAAAGTTTGGCACCTAAAAATTTGTCTTTTCGTTTTTGATGTTATATTGTATGCATTTAAACAGAATTCAACAGTGGCTTTGCCGTTTTCAAAAACCACCATTCTGTTTTGGGACACACGAAGTAGCAACCTTCATAAATTTTCATAACATGGCAAGCACGCTGTTCTAATTGCCTTCTGTTGATCTTTCAATTCCACACTCCAGAAGCGAACAACTTGTTCGCTTATATAGCTCCAAACCTCACTCGAAACCAAAACCTCAGGAGCCCTCCCAATAGTGTTTGCAAAGTTCAACAAAGGAACATACTCTACTTCCTGCACCACCACCAATTAAATTCCAAGAAATTGGAATCCTAAAAGAGAATATGTGAATACATATCTGACCATCCAAGGAGCTGACCAAGGAAGAACCAGAGAGCAGCTCAAATAGCAAAAAATACAAACATGTATGCCAGGAAAGCGCCATACCATATGGGAGGCTCCTCAAGATGCGCAGGAACTGCAGACGTGCATCTTCCTTGGAGAACTGCTCAAGGGAGCGGTAACGGCACATCACATCCTGTCGCCACTCATCACGGGATCGCGTAACCAGTGCCTGCGCACGCAGGCCACCAAACACTGTCATCAACAGATGCCATGCCAAAGAGTAAGGCCGGTCCACTGCAATTGCAAACAGAAAGCCAAAAATTGGAAACTAGCAGCACAGCATCTGTGGCCTGTAATATGTACAGTGTCAGGGCATGAAGTGGTTTGTGAAAGCTGCGTTGACAAGCATTGTGAAGGCAACTGAAACATCCAAGGGAACATTTCAACACCTGTGCAGGTTTCAAGGCATATGACATGGGGTTCCACAACATGATGGCTCACCTGCTTTGCGATGTACTTCTCGATAGCAATGGCGACTTCGTCTTCACTGTCCATCAATGAAGATCCATACTCTGCCTGCATCTGCAGTGCACACAGCTGGGCTGCATCTTCCCGCACCACAGGATAGTTGCCCATGAGGTAGTCGTACTGCGCTTGGATATATGACAGGTTGACGAATTGAGGCTCAGTGATCGTCTCATCTGTTTCCCTGAAGACCAACCCAGAGTGCTGATCACAATACCATTTGCCATATACCACCCAAACCATTGTCACTGTTCAACTTCATCGAGTGCCATCATTTGTAACAGGCAACAATCAATGCATTTGTTCTCCATGTTTCATAGGCTCCAGTTGTTGTAGAACTGTGCAACCAATCTGGATACTTGCGCACCAATCAGATTTGCGCTATTTCTGGCTTTAAACATTTTTTCATTAGAAGATATGAACATATCGATTTCCCATGTTCTTTGTTGTTACACGTTCTTTTGTACTCTTTTCCAAACTACAGCATAACATTAGAGTCCAGGAGCACACCATCCTAATAACAGACAAAATGTGGCCCTTTTGCAACATCAAAAGAAAGTGCAACCCAACGCAATGCAAAGCAAAGCCCAAAGGACTTCTTTTATTTGGTTTCTTTTGCATTCAATTGACATCCTGCATGCTGCCTTCATTACTGCTAATCTTGTTGGTGGTGGGGTCCTCTGGGGCACACCCTAACCGAAAGGCTAAGACACATACATAGTGCCCTGAAAAAACTTTGGCCCAGAGAGCTTTTATGTACTGACATGCACAAACATTCACAAATCAAGACACATACCAAGAAACATCTCTTTTGTCAGCAGCAGCTTGCACAGGAGCAGCAGGTGCTTCTCATACAATACTGAGCACTTTTGAGCTTCAAATCATAGAGCCCCACCCACCTGAACATCCTCTTCTTCAGCAGCAACTTGCTCTGAAAGCCCTCCCTCGCAGCCTTCGAGTTCTTGAACTCAAACAGAATGTCTGCTATGTATCTGTTGTCGTCCAGCATCATGTGCTCATCCGCCAGCACATCGTCAGGGCCCCTGGGTCCAGGTGGCTTGCGGCATTCAAACAGGGTAAAGGTGGAGTAGTTTTGGAGCTTGATGATGCTGGCCAGCTGTTCCACAGCCTCCAGCACGGTTGTTGTGATGTTGTAGGACAGCTCCTCAAAAGTCTCATCCAGGAAGAAGACAATGCACGTCAGGCGACGGTTCTTCAGCAACACCTCAATCTCCTCCACGGAAGGCAGCTGCATACACACACATGTCCCTCATATGAGTCTGAGATCCATCTGGACAAACTAAAAAATGCTGAGAAAGGAGTTGGGGCCATTTTTGGCACAAGATCACACCAAAAGTGGTAAGATGACATTGTAAAATTGCCTTCATCTGTGTTGGCAACATGTTGCACTCATCAGCGCACCTGCCCAGGGGTGACTCAAAGACTCCGAAGCATTTGTACATGCAAACACGTCCATGGTTCACAGTGAGCATTCTCCTGTTCTTGCACACCTTTGACCACACTCCCTGGCCACACTAATGAGTTGCCAGAATATTGTGGACCTTCGGCATTTATTTCTTCAAGTCTCATGCGAGACGTCACCGTGTGTGTGTGTAAGTGCTGTGCAGGGGACCTGGTACATTCGTATTGGTTAAACCTGTAATTGGATATCATTCTTGGAGTGTCGTCACTGCAGAGCTGACATTGGACACTGTGCTTGGACATACACTTGAAAGGGAATGGTATCTGAACACAAAGCTGCAATGTGACGAGGCCACATTGGCTGGGCATACTGCAGTGGTATACGGCACATCAATCACAAAGGTCGTCCCACATGGTACAGCTTGCATAGCGATGACAACAGGGCACCAGACAGCACCGCTGATCACATGCAAGACTATGCAACCTTTCCAGCCTCACCACCATTGGTGAACACATGGCTTTCTGCATGGACTGCAAAATCCATGGAGAAGAGCAGACAAATAAGACACAGTACAATGTCAGTTGGATGATCACACCATAGCCCTTACTTCATGCAACAAATGCTGGTCCAACTGACCCTTGCAGGAAATTCCCTTTCCCATTATGTTCAGTGCATTTTGAATGTTCCTAAGTGTTTTTGCTCAGACATATGCTTCTGGTGCTCAGGGCCGGAGACACTCGAGAGCCGACCCAGACTTGGATAAGAATCTGCATTTCATTCTGGTGGGCTGTTGAGGAGTTTAGCCAGTTGAACATGGTCTTCTTTCAGTTCCTGTTCAGTGCCCAAAAGACAACAGAGATGAACCATTATCTGCTGTACCAACCACTCTATCCAACATCCATTTCCCTGGCATTTCCTCGCATCTTCCTCTGGGTTCAGATAGACAGCATTGATTGCATTCACATGGTGAATTTCATGCACTCGAAGGAGATAACATAAGAAATGGAATTGATTCTCCTTGTATTCTGATTTACAATTTGTGCCGCACAACCCTGTCAGGCATTTCAGCAGTGTGTTGTCCCAGCAGCAAGTCCTACCGTTGTGCGAGCCCCAGCCTTTGCAGACCTCTTCAACGCATTCCAGGCCTTGAAAGCAAGGTCCTTTACACCAGCATCCTCCTGAGCACTCTCCGTGTAAGAGTGGATGTGTTCCGACACCACTCCCACAAAATCCTGCCACAATGATGGGGTGCACACACACACACGCATGCATGCGATTACTCCAATTGGCTTTGCAGATCCTTGTGGTGTTTTCCATCCAATAGCTTGGTGTGCATTTTGAAAGGTCTTGTTGCAGGTCTATGTTCCCTCTGACTTTGGGGGTGCCCAGTGCTTGTCATGCCCACTGTTTTGTAAGGAATGTCACACATGTCTGCCTATACGGACACTCAATGCTTCAGGAACGAGTTTCAAGGTTGTGGACATGCATGGTGCCCTGCTGGCACAGGAAGGACCCCCTTGTGTTGATACTCCTTATTATCTAACTAACAGCAACACTGCACAAACGCACACTGGGATGATATTGTAGCATGGGACACAAGCAGACAACTTTCTGGTACTGGAAATGCGACTGTGTTGGAACATCAACGTGCATGCCCTTTCTGGTCCTCCAAAGTGCCGATGAAAACAACAGCAACATAGACAAATGCACTGTTTACCAGTGATTGTCAACTTCCAGAGTAACTTGCTGTTCAGGTGCAGAAAGCTGCAGAAACAGAGTTTTGTAGCACATCGAACCATCACACAACAGCAAGGGAAACATATCAAAAGGACAATAGCAGTAGCTGTGCAAACAGAAGAATGGGAAGCAAGGTACCTTGGATGGTGGCATGGTGGAGGCCACAATATTGAACAACTCCCACACTCTCATCCTGCCTTCAACAGTCGGATTGCCCCGTGTCTGCTTGACGAGCTGCATGTACAACTCATCCTTAAGCTCCGGGCGTTTGAGACCCTGGTGAAGCAGCTTCTGAATGATCTCTATGCGCTGCTGCTCCGAGGCGAATTCATGGCCCCGCGTCATGTACTTCAGGATCCCACTGAACATCTTCACAGCCCTGCTTGCGTAGTCATTGCTTAGCTTTAGAAGGGACGTTGGAATTGGGTCCTGGAACAGGGGGACAGCAATAGAAAGCCTTCAGTAAAATGCGACTCCCTTGCTCCACATAGGTGTCATTCATTGGAATATGAGTGCTTTTACAGTGCAAAACCATGCCTGTGGAACACAAAAGGTGCTGTTCGACAAAAGCACAGAACATCCTTGAGGAGGCCTGTGGGGTGGCCTTGGACAAGGGTGGGTGTGCAAAACATGCACATTCAGCGAGGCAGACAGTATAGCTCACGGTCAAACCTTGTTTCAGTGTGTTGGAAAGGCTAGTGGACCTGTGCCAATCAAGTCACATTGCGATGCCAAACTGCCAGGAACTTTGTCCAGTACAGGGCCAACGCAAAGCAGCCACCTTTCCATATCTCTTCACAGACGATGGGGCCTACACATCGCTCGCCAGAACAGGCAACATCAGGACAGCATCGTTGCCATACAGCGAACATGCAAAGCAAATTCTGATTTTGGCCAATTGACAAGCAGCTCCCGCTGGTTAAAATTTGCCGCAGCCAGATCTGGAATGCCTCTTATTCATGCAACATGAAATTCCAAACACTGTGATGCTGTTCTCCTTTGAACATGTGACAAGTATTCAAACCCAGATGAGATGCAGAGATTCAGCATAAATCTGTCTCTGGCATTGCAAAGGATGCAGATGCCCTGCGATTACAGGTCCAGGGCGATTCTTGCATATGAATGCCTCGATGAAAGTAGATCCTTGTAACCTCTGCATCTCCATCTCCTAAACCAATTCTGGGCACAATCGGGTTGACCTTCATATCGACAAATAGACTCTCTCCAATATCTTTACTGTCCGTCCCACACCCCACCGTCCTTTCTGCTCCTATATTCACTTGCGTATCACACACAGTGCAACTATGGGCCCAACCGAACCAAGTTTCATATACAACATTGCCTGTCATCGCCCTGTGCATGCAAGGGCACTGCTTTGCCCCAAGAAGACAGTTGCAATCGGCAAGAAGTTCACTTCCTGTCCCCAGAAATGTAACTACAAAGGTACCATTTTCCCTCAAGAAGGCCATAAAAACGAAAAGGGATTCAACTCCCACCTCCCTGGTCACGCACCGGAGAAAACATCAACATGTCCTCCAAGCTGAAATCCCCTGGCGCCCCCGCGGCCTGGCCGCCCTTGGGCGGCCTGAGGGAGAAGATGCGAGACAGCTTGCTCCCACCCCGCTGCAGGGCCTTGTAGAAGCCATCCACCTGCGCACACAATTCCATGTCCTAAGCCAACGGCCTGCGCTCAGGCTCCCCGCCGCGTTCCAAGACAACCCGCTGAGTGCCCACGGGCCGGGGCGGCCGCTGCGCCCCTAGTACGATGGGAGATCGCAACCTCTCTTTGTTAATGAGGAAAGGTAACGGGGTGAGAAACTCGGCGACGAGCATTGCTGATCGCGGCAGGTCCAGTTATTCCCGTGAGGCGCACGGCCAGCGAAATCGGAAAGACCGGCCGTCCGAAAGCGTGGAAGCAAGGCAGCACTGGCCAAAAGCCGGGACCCACTTCTTCCCCAGGGATCGACACCGCAATCGATACACGGAGGGTTCTTTCGCCACCTTCCGTAGCCCACCTGAAATTTCTCCTGGTGAGCGGCAAGATGGTCCAGCCTTGGTGCCCCGCCATTCTCATCCCCTCCCTGTGCGGAGACAAACCAAGTGTCAGATTTTCCGGCCAATGCTACCGCGAGCGCGGTGCAGACAGGCAGGGCCGAATCTCCGGCGCACCTCCGCCACCGGGCCCCCGTTGCCTCCCGTCATCCTCTCCTGCGAACAGCAACTCACACAGCCAGATTGGAACCGGGCAGCGAAAATTCAACACATCCCGGCAACCCCCGCCCACGTCAATCCCTCCACAAGAGTCCGCCTCGGCAGCCGATCTCGCCGATACGCGGCGCGTCTCCTGTGGCATTGACGCGTTAACGGCGGTACCAAATCCGCACCCGAGGCCATGGGAACCGGTCACCCTCCCCACGTTGCCCATCTGCAAGTAGGCCCCACCACGCCTACCCCGCCAATCCGAGCTGGGCATCGGCCCAGGCGCCTCCGATCCAGCCACGACAGCCGGCGGATCCGGCACAACCGCCCCTAAACGCCGCCGCGCCACACCGCACGTCGCCGATCCCCCCAACCGCCGTGTTCACGATTGACTGCCCACGGCGGCGTCCACCACAGCAAAAACGCGGGCGTCGGCCCCGGTCCCTCAGCGGGCATTGATGAACCGCCGCGCCAGCTGGAAAGTGTCGAATCACCAGATTACAGGCGAGCCTGCCGGATGCGTTGCGGGCCCTTTCGATTCGGCACGCACGCCTCTCCGGAAGGTGTCGACAGCCTGCGGCCGGAAAACAATTTCGGCGGTCCCTCGTGGAGGAGGTGGGCAACGTGGGGCCCTACCTGAGCCAGCAAACACGAAGGACCCGGGAAGCCCGTGTTCACTCCGCCCCTCCAACGCCTCTGCCAAACTGCAGCGGTAGCTGTTGCCTTCCCCTGCGGCCCGCGTTGTTTTGGGATTTGGGCTGGCGGTGTGCGCCTTAATGTCCCCAGCGGCCACGGGCTGAAGGAGGGTCACAGCTCACGGCGGGGGCGCCAATTGCGTTGTGACCCTTAACCTATGGGCCATTTCGGAACAGCCATTTTTGATTCAGCACAATTTTGAAACCCAGACCTAAATTTTTTCAGTGGGCACAAAAGAAACGAAGCAATTACACAAGTCGCAAGATCATCAAGAAATATTGCATAACAACACTGTGGTAACAGAATTCTGAGAGTCCGACATTGGAGCACCTCCTATGAATGTTCGACGGCATCCAACGTCGGACTCCGATATCTGTCGCCGCCGATGCATCTCCGATGCCGAATTCCCATATTTGGCCCCAAAACTCCGACCATCCCCCTGCAAAACACCCAGCAGCTCTCGGTTTCATGCACCATTGCTATTGTTTGTGGGCGCTTGCCAACACCATGGTAAGGACTTGGAACCCCTTACGGTTGCAAGCACTCCCCTCTTTGATCGTTGGAGGCCGTCACCATGCCTTGATGCTGTCAAGCACAAGATCTTGGGAGCAGCATCAAAGGGAATTTGGCAGTCGGAACCATTTGGCATATGTGGCAGATAGTGGCGCGGCACTCTATTCTCGCCGCATTCCGCCCGGAACTAGGCCGCTCCACTCCTCGGTCGCTCGCAGTCGCCCGGCAGGGAGATGTCTCAGGCATCGATCCCCCTGCGCTCGGCTCGGGGACGCCGGCTAGGCGCGCATAGTCGGGGCGCTTGGTTGCTCATTCCGCATGGTGGGCCCAAGGTACGCGGCCCGCAGGGAGCCTTGGATGAGGCAGTATGGTGGATGGTCAGCTAGGTGGGGCGCGCCGCGGAGGGGGCACGCCTTAAGTGGGCAAGGACCCATCACAAATGTGAGAAACGGAATATGGAATTACAGAGTGGTGCATGTACACCACTTTTATAGTCCCATCAAGCCAGGAAGCTTCCGTGGCTCCAGGCTATCCCATATGGGGCTGAATAAACCCCAACTCCTCTCCCACATAGCAGAGCTGAGGGGGAACACTAATAATGATCCCACTAAATCATATATCATCCCCTTGTACTATTTTAAAGGAAAGGAGAAGCCTCCAAGTGTTGTGGGGAGTCCAAAACAAGGACTTTCCCTTGGAAACCTTAGGCCCCAAAACTCCCACTTCCCAAAATACCCTAAGTAGCGGCACCTTACAGTTGTTCCTTCCAAATGGTTGTCCAATGCCTTCCGTGTCCTTGGGCATGAAAAGCAGGACTTTGGAAAGTTATTCCCTCAATGCCGCAAATTAGTTTAATTCCCTTAAAGATGCAACTATCGGCAAAGCAGCTCATTACCACTAGAATTTGCCTGCCATCCAAATTAGTTGGCAATGAGCTTTTGAATGAACAAAAATGGGTCACCCCCTATGATTTCCACAACAGACAGAGATGAGGGGTGCCTCACTATGCAGTAAACAGCATGCTCGGGACCGCAGAGCAATGCCTATAGATGGGTTCCCACCGCAAATTTGAGTTGTGTTGCATCTTGCTCGATTAAGAGCCTGGCAATGAATACAAAGCTCTATGTCGTTGGATCCTCTAGCTCAGAATATTGCACAAACCAATGGCCTTGTTACAAAGCCAGCGTGCAAATTGATTGGGGTGCTATTGCAGTGATTCATCAAGTTGGTCTGTCTGGAGGAGGGGCATGGTTCCCAAAGGTCTATTTTGATCAGAAAAGCGACTTGGCTAGTTTGCATTCATTTGAAGGTTTTTTGGCTCGCAGTAGCGAGGGTCTTTGTGGTATAGGGAGCGGTGGCCTGTGCATGCTATAGGATGGGGCAGAAGGGAATGGGTTTTGTCACCTTGATAATAGGCATGCCGGGTGCTCAAATTTGTTTAATACTAATGGCAGAGGGCCATGGTTGATAGTTGTCTTTCAGCACTGGATACACATCGCAATCAATGGGGGTAGTGTGCACTTATCCCCAAGGCCAAAGGCCCCAACTTTGCTCCAAGCGCATGGTCTTTGCTTGTGCAAATGACCCAGGTGTGTTGCCTTCCAAATCCCCACGGCACTTGACACCCAGATCTGGATTGGTTATCACATGCCATTTGCAAATTAAGGGCCATATTGAAACTTGGCAGTTGTTATGGAAACACATGGGGGTCGAGAGATTTATGGCCATTAGTCTTGGTTGGTTAGTTATCTATGGGATTGGACCCATTATTTGGATTTCTTATGATCTTTAGATACTCGTAGGCTCTTTACTTGTCTGAATCCCCCAAGTATGGAGTAGTGTATGGCCTCGGGAAGTCCCTGTACTTAAGGGACAGGCCGTGGGGGCAGACTGGGCTGCGGTGTATCGATAGTGGGTCCGATACGGGGGTATGCCGGGCGATACAGTCGTGACGCACTGATGTACATTGTGTGGTGTCTGTGTGATGGGTGGCCGGGCCGGAATGTGGCCGACCACCAGTACGTACGCGGGGGTGCGTTGCTCCCCGCTCTGTTACCGTTGACTGCGCCATTGCTCGCGCGAGCGACCCGGGGCAACTGCCTCACAACCCACCATCTTCCGGAATGGCGGGACCACCCAATCCCGAAATAAGAGGGGCCTTGCACAACGAACGAGCGAGCACCCCGATTGCGCCTGCCGGGTTTGGCGGAGAGGGCCATTGGCCCAACCGGATGC